CTCTATTGCAATCCTGAGAGTAAGGGAGCAAAGCAGCAAAGCAAAAGTTAACCTCAGTCTCCAAATGACACAGCACATCAGTGATAAAGGCCCTTCTTGCACAGTGCTAAGAAACTGATTTAAGATTAATCTATCAAATATGCCCACCTCTCTCACGGCTGTAGGCAGATGGATGTGCCACTAAGACAAATGATGAACCGCCATCCTCTGATGTCACTAGCCTTGCCATTTGCAATTCTGAGCAGCATCAGAATGGTGCTTAACTGCTGGGAACAGAGGTTGCATGAGGTACATCTGGGACTGAGATCCTGTCACTGTGGGAAAAATCTTTTCCTTTCAAAACACTGAGCTTCTCCAATAAGCTGGAGGTTAAAAAAAATCCTGCAAAATAACTGATGATCTCATCAAATGTACAAGGAACTCAAGGCTGAAATGTCTATTTTGCTTGACAAGAAAAGCAGACACACTGAGAAGGAGACAGTAAAATACATTAACTGCAGACTTAGTGAGAAGGTATCAGGAAACATTCAGAGTTTTCAGAAAACCTTCTTTATAATCCCAAAATCACATGTAAGGCACTTATGGCGAATCTCTGGCTGGCTTTTCTTGCCAGAAACAACTGCAGGTTACCAAAAAGTCAGCCCTATCAAAGACCTGCATCATCATCATCATATATCAAAAACTTGTATTACCCCAGGGAAACAAGTCCACCACCCTCAGAAACCTGAGGGATGTGGTTTTGATGGCCACTACATCCAAAGTCAATGATCAGTTACCATAACAATGGCATAACCAAAATTTCAATCAAATGCAATACAATTACAGAGCAGTAACAATTCAGCCTTAGTCTAGAGAAAGAAGCTCACCACAAGTCTTCATGGAATCTCTAACATTCAGTATATTTGAAGGTTTCACAACATGCCAGATTTCTTTGCAATTGTGCATGATATACTTGCCAGCTTAAAAGCACCACTGATGTGCAGAGATGTTCCCTGCAGAACATACGACCAGGGGAACACCACAAATTGATTACAACACTAAAAAAAGAACATTTTTTTGCCCTGGGAGCTACAGGGAACCAGAAGCTGAATATAACCCAGCATCATCTTGTAATGGCAACAAAGGAAGCCAGGATGTCTGAGCAGGAGGAGAGCTCCAAGGCACAGGATATTCCTCAGCTCTGTTCAGTGCCAATGAGGCACATTCCACAGGGAAGTGGTTCCATGAGAGCAAGCTCATGGCCTGAATGACCAGCAATCCAGAAAGTACAATGAAAACTTAGGAGAAATTCAGAGAAACTGGAGCCATCCAGGCTTTGGAGGAACTGGAGTGTGCATTTCTGCAGCAGAAAGTCAAAGAGATGAAACAGACCATGAAATACAGCCAGAACGCTGATGTGCTCAAGGCCAGGAGGCAAACAAGGTCATGGCCCTCTCCAAGCCTATATGATGTGTGCTGCAGCCCTGAGACTCTGCACTGGGCCCTGCAGAAGAACAGAGTTCACCCAAATGACCCATGACAGCAAAGCAGACACATGTCCAAGTCACATCTGGGTACAAGACCACATAACAAATAAGAAAAACAACAGCTTATTGAACTTTTTTTCTTCTCTTTCCTTTGAGATTTCATCATCCTCCACTATTTTAATATAGTTGCAGGAAATATATTTAAAAATTCATCATTACAGCTATTATCTCCATACTAATTTCACAGTGAACTCTGTACAATACCTTAAAACTCCTGGATAAGTTGTCATCAGCTCCATCCACTACACATTTCATTTCTCCTCATACCAGACTTCCCAGCCTGCTGCTGCTTTGTCTCTTTTTTTTTTTTTTTTTTTTTTTTTTTTTTTTTTTTTTTTTTTTTTTTTTTTTTTTTTTTTTTTTTTTTTTTTTTTTTTTTTTGTCCCTCCTGATGAGGAGCAGCTGAGGGAGCTGAGGAGGCTCAACCTGGAGAAAACAAGGCTGAAGGGAGACCTTATCACTCTCTACAGGAGGGTGTAGCCAGGTGGGGGATGGCCTCCTCTCCCAGGTAACAAGCAACAGGACAGGAGGAAATAGCCTCAAGTTGCACCAGATGAGGTTTAAACTGGATATTACAAACAATTTCTTCACCAAAAGGGATGTCAAGCACTGGAACAGGCTGCCCAGGGAGGTGGTTAAGTCAGCCAACCCTGAGGCATTTAAAAGATGTGTAGATGTGGTACTTGGGACCACAGTTTAGAGGTGGCCTCAGCAGTGCTGGGTTAACACTTGGGCTTGATGATCTTAAAGGTCTTTTCCAACCTAAATGATTCTGTAAACAAAAATGATTAGACGAAAGCCAGAGGCTGAAGTATGACAGATACACTTTATCCTCAGTATCAACAGTTTTAAATACATTAGAGATGAATGAGGGATATTGATAGCTGAAAGGCTTGCTCATTTGAGTTCACTTCTATAGCAAATTTTTTCGCTAGGTTCACTTTTGCGAAAGTCAAAGTGTAGTAAACAAAGTTATTCTCTGTAGGGTTATTGACAAGAAAAAAAGAGTTAGAAGTAGTATTGATTTGGGATGAAATGGTAGAACATGACAATCAATAGAGTTTAGTCAGATATAAAACAGAAGGAGTCACATAAGTCACGACAGTATTATTACAGGAGACAAATCCTGGTATCAGCCAAGGAAAGGAAGAAGCTGTAAATGGGATCCAAAATATAAGCTACAGATTGCTTTTTAGAAAAAATAACCCTAAATTATTCAATTTAATGTTTTAATATGTGAGGTAGTTTTTATTTCAGCATATTGTCAGTTCTGTTTTTCTAAAGCTTTTGAAACAAATTCTTTCCACCTCCATAGTATTTTTATTAAATGTCATCAAAGCTCTTTTCAAATCTCTGAGAGAAGTATGATTATTCTTATTTAACAGATAATGAGAAGACTGAAGGAGACTGGAGCTACATTTTCCAAACTAGACAGTAAAGCCACATGCCTTGTGTCTAAATACAAAAATCCATAAAATAAGAGTCCTACAGAAATGAAATTTTCAAAGGTCCCAGAAAATCACAACTGTGGTCAGCAGCTGCTTACAGAGTTCCCAAGAGCTGCTCCCAGAGTTCTGGGTCGCAGGCTGGGGAGCCACAAACTGAGCCCTCACAGCAAACACAGCAAGCTACATAAGCACAATGAGCCTGCTCACAGATACAACAGAGCCTAAAATAGGAGGCATGCTAATTCACAGTCCTCTGTTCTAATTACAAAGCTCATTATTTTTACCACTCAAATGACTCAGGGTGAAAGAAACCCACCAACCGTATATTCTACCACATGCAAAGACTGTACATTTGCTGGGATTTACACAGTGCCTACTTTCTGAGCACAACCACATTGGAAAATAATAGCAATAATCAGAACAGCAATGAATATTTTTCACTGGTGATTATGCCCACGCACAATCATTCAGTGCATTGCCTTTTCCTAGACTCTGGTCCAAAAATACCCCCAAGTTATTGAAAGATACTAAAGTGATTTACAAATGAAATTTGATACAGAATTAGTTACACTACTGAGGTGAAAGGCAGCAGTGTTAGTAACGATCAGCATTGCACAATGATTTTTTGCAGGTTGGGATGAAAACTATTCAATTTGAGGGAGCTATAAACCATATTTTGAAGAACCTCTTGCACTAATTGGCTAAATAAGTGTTGACAATCAAACTGTGGGATATGCAGAGCCTCAGGGAGGAGGGGGCCTTGGAGCAGCTTCATTTTTGTGAATGGAGCCATAAGAAGGACAGGAGCACGCACAACTCTAATCTGGAGAATGGCCCAGGACAGACTGAATAGCACCACCACACTGAAACATGAGCTGCCCAGGAAATCAAGGGTTACACAGTTGCAATAAAATAAATTAAAATTTAAAAAAAAAAAAGCTGTTGCTAAAGAGGGATATGTAGTGACTGCAACAGTTTAAAAGCTTTTTTAGCTGGAATCACATTTGCAGTCACAGGATTTCTATTGCAAAATGGCATTATCGTCTCCAGAGAGAAAACTAGGCCTGAATCAGGAGAAGGATGGACAAGATGACCTTTTGAAGCCTTCTTTAGCTGTATTCCTGTAAGTCGATATTCAGTTACAGAAAACATGTCTGGTCTAGAGCTGTTGTGGCTTAGGCATTCAAGTTAGAAAATTTCGGCATAAGTCTTTGGCAAGAGAAGAAGCCCAAGCAATTTTTATATTGAGCTCTGTCTGCCATTAGTGATGTGATTCAATCATAAAATAGCTTATTCCCCCAACACAAACATATAATACCATGCTGGAGTAGGAATGTGAAGCTGCTCTCATATCACAGCTAAGTTCATTTTGCAGCAAAGCAGTTTACTTTAAGACTTTTGCAGTAATCCAAGTCTAATTATGGAATCAATTAAAAACAATTTTGTAATTAAAAGTACCTCCTGAAATATCTCACAGGCTCAGTAATTTAAATGATAGTGTTAAAAAGGTAATTAAAATTAAAAGGCCAAATAAAGCTGGGTCACTCCTCCACTAGCAGAGTGCTGAAGGACGTTGCATTTCCAAACTCGAATCGTCAGCTTCCTCCCGAAATTTCTGCTTTCCCCAGATGTACAGGGATTTCGCACTAAGAGTCATCCAAGAGATGTCTGAGCGGACCGCGGCGGGGCAAGGCTCTTTTTTTTTTTTTTTTTTTTTTTTTTTTTTTTTCCCGCTTTAAATTCAAAAAATTACGCTGTTTCAAAATGAAGTACTTACAGAGAGCCAGTGCTCCCTAGTCGGAGTGAGGCTCCGTCCTGCCGGGGGTCCCCACGCAGGGTGCCAAAACGGCGCGCCCCCGCGGCAGGCGCGGGAGGGGGTGGGGGGGGCGCAGGGGGGGAACTTTCCCTGCTCCCCCCGGGTCGGGGCTGCGGGGCCGGCTGGGGATGGGGTGGCGCGGCCCAGGGCCGGGGACGGGCGGAGGAGGGGACCGGGGATGGGGCCGGGGCGCCTCACTCACTCACTCACCGCCCGCCGCCAGCCTCGGGCCGAGGCTCAGCGCCAGCTGCAACCACAGCGCCGCGGCCAGTACCCGTCGCGCCGCCGGGAGGGCACCGCCGCCGCTCGCCTGCTTCCCATGACACATCTTCTGCCCGCCAAAGGCATCCGTTTCGCCGCCACCTGCAACGAGACAGCCGCTCCGCCTCGCCGCTGTCCGGGGATCCGCGCGGGTCCCCGGGCCGCCTCCCGCCCTCCCCGCCGCCCTCCCGGCCCGGCGGCTTCCCGGGCCATGCCCCCCTGCCGCCGCTACCTGCGGGGGCTCCCCCGCCAGAGCCGGCGGTACCTCCGCGGCAGGCTGCCGCCGCCTCCGCCGCTGCGGCTCGGCAGCCTGCCGGGGCCGGGCGGAGCGCACAGGCACACACACACTCATACACGCTCACACGCCACACAGGCGCACAGAGACTCCTGCGCATCCCGCAGCCGGCCGGCCCTACCTACGAGCGGGGCAGCGGCATCCGCAGCGCGCACCTGCCCCGCCCGACCAGCCGGCGTGGAGCGGAGGTGCGGGGAGCCGTGAGCGGCGGGAGCGCGGGCAGCCCCGGCGCGCCAAGCACGCATGGCAGCCGCGGGCACGGTCGCGCCGCCGCTCCCGCTGTGCCGCCCGGGCAGCCCGGCCCGCAGGGGCACCCCCCGCCCCGCGCCGGCGGGCGCCCCAACACTGCCAGGGGTCGGGGAAGGCGAAGTTAAGGTTTCGCTTCCGGTAGTTTCTGCTCGTTTTCACCTCAAACGGGGTTTCTTCGTGCGCAGCACTGACGGAGCATCTTTGGAGTGCCCTGTGCTTCGTCACGTAGGCAGAGCGTTAGGTACGAGACGCGGTTTAGCAGCGCTGGTGGCAGGGCCGCATCTTTCACAGTTTTTGGGAGTGGGAAGGTATATTCCTGAGCACTCTCGCCTATCAGCTGCCACTGGGGAAACGCAGGACGCCTGGGCCTGCCGGCTGGAGCAATTTACTGTTAGAAATCAGCTATACGTAGTGAATCTGTGAAATTCACAGCCATGAATCATTTAATCAGAGAGTCTGTCTTGTGGCTCCAGCAGCCGTGGTAGCTCTGTTTCCTGGTGCCATTCCACAGTTGGGCATTGCATCTCTACCCTTGCTCAGAGGTAGCAGAGCTCCTTTCCTTTAGATGAAAAGGACTCTGCTAAGCAGATTAAGGTGTTTGGCACACTCCTGGGACACAGCAAGGGGAGCAAAACCAGGGACAAGGGAATATACATTTATAATGAAACATACCTATGCTTAGTACAAACACAGACCCAAAGGCACAAGGGATAATATTAACAGCATGTGGACATGCTGTTAATATTATCTAATGCTTCAAAGTTAATAGTAAATACTGGTAATGTTGAACTTCTTTTCATGTGTCTCAGCTACCTAGTGCTGTCTCATCCAAGTTAAAACTTAAGGTTCTTCAGGACAGATTTTAGTTCAAATCATTCATCAGTTCAAAGGCCAGTGTAAGAAGCATAGTACTTTATCTCCCCTGGAGAAAATGGATATCTCACAGTGAAGTGCAGTATTCTGCTAAGAATAGGGAAGTACTGGCCAATTTTTGGCTATTGTCTCTGAAATACCTTTGCTGCTCCTTTTAAACAGGAAAATTTGGAAAATATAGAGCATTTTCACCAAGCATCATTTCCTGATCAGGTCAGTTTTCATGTCCCCAGCCAGCCCAAAGAGGGAGTTCAGGGCAGTAATAGCTGTTGTAAGCCATCCAAACACAGCACAGGCACAAGTTACATGATAGAGATGTTCTTCAGAGGCAATAAGCCATTGACTACTACAAGCAGCAGGACAGAGCAATAATGCAGGAATTCCTGTTATCTGTAATAAGAGGATCTTTATGTTACTGGTTTGGTAGCTTTCATTTTTGAAATTAAAATAGCGAAAGATAATGTCCCAAGCAATCTGATGCTATTCGTGTTCTCCACCAATTGAAATGCAAAGTGCTGGATGCAATGTCTACCTTCAGTGTGGATGGAGTACCCAGACACTTCTAAGGAGGAAGAGGCAAGTAAACTAATGTCTATCAGTGTTGATAGGTACTACTTAACCCTTGTTTCTGGCACTTAGTCCTATCCCCACGTGTGCAGCTGCACCTCTGACACCATCCAGCTTGAGGAAGGATAATTGACTGCTCCAGGTACCTGTCAGCCACCCCACATAAGTAGGACATCCCTGCTCAAAACAGCACCAAGAAATCAAGGCTTTCTTGTGCAGCAGCTCATCTTCAAAATCTTAATGAACTGTAAAAATTCTCCTCTTGCTGAGCAGGGCATGTGTGTGCAAGGTGGTGGCAGTGGCTGAAGCGGCTGGGCCCCCTGTGGCTGAAGCAGTTTAGCAGGAATCCGTGTCAGCCAGGAGCAGGGAAGGGCTCCTGCAGCCCAGGAAAGTCTAAACTGAGTGAGGAGCAGCAAAAGGTGGAGGAGGATGAAGCCTGAAGCAACCCCAACCACAGAGAGGCAGAGGGGAAAGAAGTCGTTTTGCTTTGGCTTGGACTTTGTTTCTGGAAGGGATGGATGGATTGCCTGAAGGGCTACAACTGTTCTGTGACCAAATCTGACATCTGTAATCAATTTTACGGCATCCTCCTGAGCTGAAGTGGGGCCAGAGCAGTGATCAGTGGGCTGGACCTGAAGCTCTGAGCTGCTGTTACATAGCACAGACTGTAAAATACAGGAGGATTTGTCCCCTGGTTATCCCACCCAGATGTCATGATTTCTGTGCCTTCATACACTTGGCTGCCCCTCCACTATTTTTTTAAAGCAAGTTAAAAATGAGCCTCAAACCTGTGAGGAGAAACCCTGAATTGCCTCTGGTACGGATAAACCCTCCCTGGTGCTGGTGCAGATGGGCTGCAAACAAGTCCAAGAGATTATGTGACTTTTTTTTTTTTTTTTTTTTTTTTGCTTCATATGTACTCACAAAGCTGCTTCGCTGCTTCCATTTCCCTGCACTGCTTCTGCAGCTAAAAATGCCACCTCTCAGAATGAAGATGAAAAGTGCCAGTGCTCATCTGCACCCTCCAGACTCAGGTTCCTGTTGTTTGGGCCCAGGAGCATCGAGGTGGTGGTGGGAGCAGGTAGAGATCACATGTTCCTTGTGGCAGGTTGTGGGTGCTGCCATGTGGTGGAGAGGTGTTCCTGGCCAGCTTCACTCTCCTTGGAGGAAGAGGCTTCAGCTCTGCACCAGCTGGTGCACACAGTCAGCTCCTGGCTGCTTCTAGCAAGTCTGGTGAGCATCCCAGCCAGATTCTGGCTAGCTGTGGGCTTACAGCTCATCTTCTCCTGGGGTTTTGTAATCACCTTGGTGAATAAACAATTGTGTGCAATTAATAACTCCTGTCATTGCAGGACTTTAGTTTTGTCTTGCCATACACATTCATCTGCTTCATTCTCTTATTTTTATCTTCTCACATGCCCTCCTTTAGCTGACTTTCTTATTTTGAGGTCTGTACTAATAAAAATCTAGATTGGAAAATTCAGTTAAATACATCCAACCCAAAAATTGGCCCCTCACTCTAAGCTAAATGACAAGAGCAGCAACATTGACTCTGCCCAGGAGTAGGAGTATGAAGGCATGTCCACCCTACACAGCATTTGGCCTGAAGTCCTGGATACAATATAATAATTTTATCTCTGTGTCAAGAACTAGGAACTATCCTTCAAAGCATCCATGGCAATGTGAGAGTCTGTGGCATCACAAGTCCAAGTGGTGCCCTTGTAACGTGAACCTGTGTTGCACAGCTGCTGCCATGGCACAAGTATTTGAGAATGCTCAAAAACCAGGACCAAAATGGAACAGGAGCAGCCAAATCTGCTGTAGTCTCATTCACACTGCTCATTGGGAAGGTGTCTGGACTAAATTATTTCCAGAACTGCCGAAAGATATTGTTTCAAAGGGAAGAAACTCATTCACTCACAAAAAAAAAAAAAAAAAAAAAAAAAAAAAAAAAAAAAAAAAAAAAGAAAAAAAGAGCAGGAAGGGGAGGAGAACTGGGGAAAAAAAAGAGAAGAAACTCATGGGTTGAGAACAGAACACGAGTCCTGAGTTTAATAATTGAGATGCCCAGCAATGACTGGTCCTTCCTGGCCAATATCCCTCAGTTTATGTCCTGACCATGACTCTTTGTGGTGTGGAACATCCCTTTGGCCAGTTCAGGTCAGCTGTCCTGGCTGTGCTCCCTCATGTCTTCTTGTGCAGCTCCTTGCTGGCAGAGTATAGGAAACAGAAAAGTCTTGATTTAGAGTAAGCACCACTCAGCAACAACTAAAACATCAATGTGTTGTTAACACTGTTCTCATACTGAACCCAAAACATAGCATTTACGACCCACTAAGGAGAAAATCAGCTCTATCCCAGACAAAAGCAGGACACTGGTAAGAGTCAGCTGGAAAGGAGGCTTTGTAGTCCAAATTCTTGGGTACCTAACACTCTGGTTGGCCTCATTGCTTGCATGAGTGGTCATGGGCATCTTTAATTTGCTAGCAAAATGTAACCCAAAATATTGGGTATTGGATTAAGTGTTTGGGGGTTTTAATTATCACATTAAGATATTCTTTCTCCATGTTTTACCGGCTCAAAAGCAAGGCCAGAAGGAATTGTCCTGGTAATGTGGCTGTTGGGTAGGTAAGTTTCATCCTTAAATTGGACTCCAGAAAGGGTGAAAAGGAAGTGGTGAGGGTTGTAGCTGAGGGTAAAGAGAGAATTTATATTTGACAGTGTGAGACTTTAAAAAAAAAAAAAGACCCCAGGGCATGTTAGTAGCAGTTGTATGAGCAAAGGGGTGTCAGTCCATGGGGAAAAAAACAGCTTAACACAGAAGTCTGCAATTAATTATTTTAAAATATAAAATGGCGATGACTGGCATTGAGATTTGGCTGGAGAACATCAATCTGGACTGTAAGAACATATTGTTGCAAAACATCCTCCAGACCTCCTGGCCACAGACCAGCTTCCCATTTTATTGGCCACAAGGAAGAGTTGTTGCCTTGAGCTCACAGATTATTTATTGGTGTAAATACAATTCCACACACAAAATTAAGAAAAAGAGCTCAAGCATCATCTAACAAAATGCAGAGAGTTGCTAAAGGGAGTTCTGAATGCCTTGGAAAGCACAAAATTATTCAGGGCTAAGATTTATAATGACCATGTTGTGTCCTTATGAAAGATAATGGCCTTAGATATGCTGTATTACTTGTACTCTAAACAGGCTTAAGCTTTCAAGCATTTTCAAGTAAAAACTCATTTGCTGAACTCCCTTATATATCAGATAATGCATTCAGTCACTTCCTTCATACCTGGAGTACACCGTATTTCCCTTTTAACTTAGAAATATTAATGAGCTGATAGTTCACAAAAATAAGGT